TTTTATTTTATTCTATTTATATTATATTTATCTTTCACAACAAATTGAAAATGAAGAGTTAAATTCTATTATTACTTATAGAATAAATTCATTGAAGAAACTATTTTATTCTTAATAATTTGTTATTATTGCAAATATGTGTGTTTATAACGAAATGTTAGCTATGAATCATTAATTGAATTATTTAATTTAATTTATCTTAACTAAAATTATTAATATATTAGAATTTAAGTAATGTATCAAATTATTATATATATTCAAAGAAAGTAATTAATCGTTATTGACTATTAATTTTCGTGTATAATTATTTCTGTCAATTTAAAGTTTATCAACTTTACAGAACTTTATAATATAATACATTTTCCATTCTTATTTTTTAATTTAAAAAATAATATTTTCTAATTTAAAAAATAATATTTCACGCGGATTGACGCGTGATGTGGATGATTTACATTACGGAAGTTTCATGCGTTGCGAGTTTCTTTTCATATTCATCAATAGTCTCGTCGCATAGTTAAGAAAGCAATTTTGCTTATTTTGCAGCTTTACTTTCTGCCATTATCATAAAGTCTTACACGCGACTGTCTTTCTCGATATCTTGCTTATACCCTTTTTTCTTTATTTCTTAACTCGACACACTGTCAAGAATTGCAATGCTTGCAAGGCTATAACGTCGCAAACTTCAAATTTTCTTGATATATATATATATATCGAACCCCATTTGTAGTATTACAAAATGTATGGACACTATTAATTATTTTATTGCTACCATTGCATTGTTAAAACTAACCTAATAAGGGCAGGTTTCACCTTTTGGTAAATTTTACCTGTTGGGTAAGTAGCAAGATTATCCAATTACATGCGCGGATTGTCAGATTTACCTAATAATAGGTAAAATTTATCAAAAGCTGAAACAACCAGTTCTCAAAGTCAAACAGAAAATTTGAAAATTGAAAACAAATCAATATTTTAGGAAAAGAATTTTATATCGATTGATTTTGCTTTGATTTGCTCAAAACAATTTCTATGTAATCAAAAAGAAATTATAAATAGAAATTATTCATAGGAAACGTATTGGACATATAATAAATTCAATTGTTTATAAAGAATAAAAGAAAGTAATGAAAAGTATGAAATGAAGAGGAAATCTTTTGCTCTTCGCTTTTATATCATTTATCTAATCTGCGAATCTTAAAAGAATTTAAAAGCGATGAATCTAAATTAGAATTAAATGTCAATTTTTAATTCACATGGTTAGATTAAAAAAGTTAAAATATAAGAAATGAACGAACAGAGGAAGAGACGCGAGACGTGATAGGAATAAATTTTTCGCGTTAGTAATATATAATGAGTGCAACTGCGGGAGGTTTGCGTTTTTATCTGTTTGGGAAGTGAATTTGGATGCATCATGGCAAAAGTATAACGAAGAAATATATTCCGACGTTAGCAGAAGAAACATCGACGTTTCGTGCGAGAAGTTCAATGCTTAGAATCGCGTGTCGTAGGCCGATACATATATATGTACATACATACCGAATACATACCGGAGGCACATGCTGGTCTGACTCGATTACTTTGGCGCACTTGTCGTGGGGCTTGGATATAGAATGCGGTAGGGTTGTGCTCGCGTGTGATTGCCACACGATAAAACACGACACAGGGGGTGACTCGAGGTGTGTGAGCGTGAAGGTTGATTCACGCTCGAGCTATGACGGTATAGTCCTCTTTGCGATTGTACCTCGATAAAGGTGATAGCAGCACCGATATATAACAGCCGAATTTATTCCGGAATTTATTTCTAAGCGAATTGTCGTTGCTACGAAAACAATTTTTTCTTTTGGAAAATTAAGGGAACAATGCAGATGCGGAGTATATATTATACAGATTTGTGTCTTGCGGGATGATATTTTCTTATGTAAATCTGGTGTTATCAAAAATACTTTTAAAATTGACAAATATTTTCAATCTACACTGTTAGATATCATAGGAACTGCAAACTCAATCTTTTGAGTTAAATAACATTTTGTTATTTTTCTCACTTTCTGTGTAACTCAATGATCCATTTCTGTGGTTAGTTTGAAAGTAAACAACTTTTATATTAATGTATATACTTAATAAATAATAAACTGAATTTGAATCAAATTTAACATTTCTTTGAATAAAATTATTTAACTTCATGATTTTACTTAAATTAATGATATTTTGAGTAAGAGCAGTAGTGAGTTATAAAAATAATTAAAAATAACTCGGATACAATTTGACATTATGAATTTGACATTATGAAGTGTGAAACGTTTAACGTTTAAACAGCTATATGAATTTTTAATCATGCTATTTGTAGAATTGAAAGATTTTTCATAAAAATTAAACAAATTCAAAAAATTAAATTTTTTAAAAATATCTTATTTTCAAACCGGTTGTTATATAAATATGGTAATTTTTTTCCGGAATCGTAATAGATATAAACATTAAGTTTTAGACTTTTTAGTTAATATTTTAAGAATTCATTAAAGAATAATAAAAATCTCTGAACTCGTGGAAATTTTATTTACCCACATAGAAAAAATGATTTTGGAAAGCGACATTATTACCGATTGGATATGAAAATATTTAAAATTTTAATTAGATACAGATCTGAAAATAATTTCATTGGACTATCAAAATAATTATATAGGATAGTGCTGGAATTTAGTTGCAACTTTTAGCCGATTTTAGACCGCGCGGGTTGATGAAGTAAGGGGCGGGAATCAAACTGAAAATCGACTGAAAGTTGCAAATAAATTTCAGCTGATGTAGGACATTCAAGCTGGTTGCTATAATGTCAAAACTTTTTGCAGCATTGCTTATTATGCTTTAATATCCTACATAAATTAATTTGATAGTCCGACAAAATTATTTTTGGACTTGTATCTAGTTAAAGTTTTAGATACTTCAGCAAAACGGTTTTTTTTTTTTTAGTTTTTATGCATTTATCCTCTAATTTTATA